CGAGATAGGACGTAGACTTCATAATGTTGAGCAGAAGAGTGAGCTTATGCTTTTCCAACTACATAATGTTCTTGTAGATGCAAAGCCCATTATGAAGCAGGAGAAAGCTCATAACACGTTCCTGGCAATTATTGTGCCGTATCTTGAAGACTAAGTACAACCTCGCAGAGAATCCTACTGTCGAAAATTTATTAGCAGCCCAGAAGTGTTCCTGTATAGCGAAATATAAAAAAACTCATCATGCAAAGCTATAAAAGATGCGGACGAATAAAATCTCGTCCATAGCTGATTCATCAATATTGCTACGATACGGAAACATTATCCGCAAGATGAGACACGGTACTGATCATAGAAATGTATTTGGAAGTGAGAAAGGTATGTGCCAATATTGTGAGGAACGTGTGAAGACGGTGGACCATCTAGCAACGCAGTGCGAAAAAATGTTACATCATGACTATACTAGAAAACACAATGAGGTCCTACGATGCATCCACTTGGGACTCTGCAAGAAGTATGTCTGAAAGCATCCCGAGCTTGCGAAGCCATTCTGTTCAGGAGGTGATCGCGAATGATAACATATAGATCAGAGTCAAGACGCAAGTAAGAACAATAATAAAGACAAGTGTTGATCGATCGGACATCATGATGCACGATAAAAAGAGACACGAAGTATTCCTGATAGAATATTGGCATCACTAGTAAAGAAGGGTTGACAGAAGTCGAGACCGAGAAAAAATGCAAATGTGATCTACTTGCTGATAAGCTTGGGTCAGAGATGAAATATAGGACTAAAATAATTTCGTAAGTGATAACTTGGGATAAGATTGTAACAAAATTCCACAAACTCAATGCGAAGGAGATCAATATATCTGATGACATTCAATCGACAGTTTTCAAGAAGATCCTCAGAAGTATCTCACTCGATAATCGCAATGGATTTCACGAGGGCGAAGCGAAAAGGATCAGCACAACAAATCTGAGTGGACAAGTACAGCCAGAATGTCGGATTAGGATCAAGCGTCAAAGTCAATCAATAAAACCAAATAGAAATTGAAGTATACTTAACCATACTTTGCTAATTTCTATTGTATCACACCAGTGAGCTTCAAAATAAAGTTCCAGAGGTTTACCATTCATTCTTTCCTTTATTTTGTATTCAAACTGCTTTTGTAGAAGTCTCTTCGGGAAAACCCTATGTATTAATATGAATATTAGTTCTGATAAAACAGAAAAAAGTTTCCATGACATAGACTTCAATCCCACTGCATCAAACATAACCAGTTTTAAGAAAAAAGCAAGCTAGTCTCACTGGATCTACTAGTACCTTAATATTGAAGATATTTTTCCTCCCCATCTAACAAAATTTAGTACTGTCCACAGAACCAGCTTAAAACTGAAAAGTTAGTCTCAACCTCAACCTTTCCATTAAATGTAATGATAACAACCTGAGTACCACAGATACTTGAAGTATGGTAACCAAATCAATTTTTATAAGTAAATCTTATTTCTAAAAATTGGAAACCACAAAATTTTTAAACCACTTCACCCGTAAATAATAAATCCAATACACTACCCACTGTTCACCACTGCCAACCAAATAGTGATAATCTTCCAAGTTCATCAATTCCACGTTATCAAGTGGAAACGATGCTATACTACATTCAAAAACCACACTTGTTGACTATTTGTGTGATTTTTTAATATCAATCTCTATAAAACTATGATGCGAAATTTGCGATGATAATTTGCATATGATAATTTTTATCTTCAATACAAAGTAATAAGTTTCTTACAGAAAATGCACAGTATCTTATCAAGCAATATGTCAAAACTTTCCATTAAAAATAAAACCGACACAAACAGCCAGTAATATAATGGCCCGTTTGAAACTTCTTACACAGTTTAATCAAATGACCAATGCAAAGAGACAGCAGTTAAAAAAAACATGAAGATGAAGAAAAGTTGAGAACGGGAAAAGAGAACAAAAATTCCTGCATATCCGTTCCATCAGTGAAAATACTCTGGAGCTTGAATGAATTGAAAATTCGAATAAATTAGTAGCCCATTACTGAGAACAATATATAAACAGGATACCTTATTTCATGTATTTTTACAATTCACTAAGAGAGAATAAATAGACCTAACTGAGGCTGTATCACCATCAACCTCTAAAAATCTTTCAATCAAAAAAATAAGTACAAACGAATTTCTTAGCAAATGTAATTGTTCGGCGTAAGGAAACTGAAATATAACTGAAACATCCTTCAAAAACAACCCATTTCATTTAACTTGTTTTCGATAAATTGTTTTCATTACAACTTAATTTAGATAAATTTTTAAAAAAAATATTGAAAATATTCTTACTCAACGTCTATACATATGGTATCCAGAAAATGAGGATACTTTTATAAATACTAAGTATATCAAGAAATAAGTAGCAGAAAGTATGGGAATATTTCATATATAAAATAGTCCCTCCATTTCTTTATGCAATTAAAAAGTTTAGAGAACCACAGGTCTGAAAAAAACTGAACAAAAAGACTGAAATGGTTTATGTATTCGAGCTGTGATGATTTCATATGACCCATTTTCCCAGCAACACTACACAAATCCGCAAAAAAGCGGACGTGTCAAAGACATTATATAGAGTATTATAAACATATTTTTTTTAAATACGGTTTTCAATACCATCATAGCGAGTAAAAACACCAAAGAATGAAATGTTAAAAAAGTCGAAATTTGCCAATCCGAAGTTTTGAAATGCTGAAAGTGATTTACTTAACTCTTTCCTTTTTCTCCAATATGCTTTAAAAAAAGAGAAAGGGGATATAAAACTTGCCATTTATGACTTTTTTCCCTTAAGAATTAATATATGTCAATGATGGTACAGGTATTGAATAATAAATGAATTAAAGAGCTTAAAATCACTAGAATCTACAAACACTGATAACGAGAATCAAAGGCAGATGAAACTTTTCATAGAACATACAGTCCCATGTGATTAGTTTGAAATACCTATACAAATTTATATCCTTATCATCAAAGTAATAAAGGAGAACATCATGAATTTATTACTGTTAATCAAAAAAAAAAACTGGTACATAACATTAATTTTATTTCGTCACTTGTTATAAACAAAACTCAGTAAAAAGAAATCCGAAAACCGTACATAGCACAAGAACAACAATGAAAATAAGTAACAGCTGAGGAAAAAACGTTTCGAATAAAAGTTTATACCAACAGATAACAATTAAAATCGATGTGATAAAGTTTTGACTTTGGAGATTCCACTACAAACTGTTTGAAGCTTTGCAACAGTTTTATTGCCTAATAAAATTTATATGCTGCTTACCAGTTTGAATGAGTATCTTTTCTGTTTCGTTTGAACCATTCGCCAAATATAATTGTCAAGGCAAAGATTCAATTAAGTGGATTTCCAACTTACACTGCGAATTTTACTGTATACAACAGCTCCATAAATCATGAACGTGATCTTCTAAAGTACTTGTCACGATAATGTCCTTCACCAGTCCTTCTCCTTTCCCGACTTCTTGAGCGTGAAATATGCCGTTCCACATATCTAGAACGAAAATATGTTGCACTTAAAAAATACTGCTTCAAACTCCAACATCAGTTGCGAATTACTTTTAGAATCAAACCTTCGGCCTTTTCGTGTTCGAGACTTTGACCGTTTCCGATCATGTGAGCGACGCCTTTTATGACAGGATTCTTTGCTGCTTGATCTTCGACGATAACGCTCAGGAGTTTTAGACACACTTTTCTCACTACTGGATCTAAAATACAATAAAGCTAGAAGAAATAAAAATATGACTGCTTTCAATCCAAATTTTTTTTCCACTTGATTTTTCCTAATTTTAAACTTCGAACACAATGTACAAGTGGGGATAAAAATCTAAAAACACATAAACGTATTTAATATATTTGCATTTCGCTTTGTTTTCTTTTGGCCATCAGAAAAAAACATTTTACATTAAGCCTACATCTACCACTCTTCAACCTTACATCAACTAAAATTAGACTATTCCATCAAAAAAACATTAAATAAAAAAATTGAAAAGTCTACTTCAGAAACATACCTAGCTCAGTAAAACTTTAAAAACGACTACATCTAATAAAAATCAAATAGTAGTTTACAAATACAAGAAAGTTTATTACTGTTTCCTAGAGCGTTCCCGATTTTCTAAGTTTTGCAGCTTTTTCGACCCCCTACTTTGCTTCTTTTTTTCCCTTTTTTTGGTATCTTCAACACGGCCCAAGTCTACCTTCTTTACATCTGAAAGAATTAGACTAGTCAAAAACGAGTAGCAAAAAGTATAAAAACTGTTCATATAAATTGAAGATATGAAGAAAAAAAGGCCACAACACACAGGCAGTAAGGAATAAACTAGGGCATTTAGGAACACATTATTGAGATAGGGTACTTTAATTCAGATTCAAATAATTGAAAAGTCTCATAATTATTTCACGTTCATCACCTTCATTATTTAATAGCATAATGCAAGACTCCTTATTATTATTTGCTTCCTCTGGCATGGCAAATTTTCCATGTTCAACACCTGAAAAAACAGTTTGGAAATATATACAGCAACAGCAGAAAATACAAAAATTGATTCATACCAAACAAATCCAGTTACCAACTTGGAAATAAGCGTTGCGATCCATAAAACTCGATTTTTTCGAACACATTTTTATCCCAAAGTTCATCGACTCCTTCACACAAGTCCCAAATTTATAATTATTTTTCATGAATGAAACACCTCTTTTTTTCAGGAACGAAAACTTGAAGACAAAACACATGAATGTCCACAGTTTCAAAGTGAAGTTTTATGTACTAGCTGAGGTGTCTCTTGGACTGAGATGCATAGTAATACCTTGGAATGATTTTGTAGAAGACAATCCATCATTGCTACTTAACTTGGCCTTACTCTTAGCACCCGACGATGGTAATGGAAGAAGTGGCACGTTGAACACTGCATCATCCCCATTATCCTTTTTATGATAACCACCACTTTCTTCAATTACATTAGAATTTTTCGAAGTTTCTTGTTCAGTCGTTTTCGACGCCAATTTTTCCACTTGTTTGATCTCTATTTCATCATATGAATCATCATCACTTTCAGTACCTGAAGAAATAGCAAATAAAAAAACTGATTAAATAAAGCTATAAAGATAAAAAATAAAAACCTGACTGCGTACCGAGCTCGTGTGTTAACGTATTATCATATTAGTAGATAAAATGCAAGGAAAAGATCTGACGCGATGGACTTAAAGCTAGGACGATTGAGCTTGACGAAGGTCATAAGTCATATTAAATGCAAACAAATGACAAACCAACAAACTCGAACCGTCAAACTAGCTGGAAAGTACCACCCCAAAAAGTTGAAAAAATCAGTGACACAAATCAGTTTGTGTCATCAGTAAAATATATTAAAAGACATGAGATGGAAAATACAGAAGCTAATATTGAAAACAGAAAAGTATTTTAAATGCTCTACCTCATGATCTCATCGGAAAAATTCCAAATGAAGTATTAAAGGACAATGTGAAAGACGACAAAACAATGAGTATGTTGTTAAATATTAAAGATATGGTCAAGAGAGAAACATAACGAAAGCTGTAACAAAAGATTTCACAAAGAGCAAGTAAAAGCTTACCAAGTGAAGACAAAGCGGCGAGAGCCAAGCTTTGGGCGAGAACTTTTGGCTGGGCTAAACATTCGTTGAACTTTATTAGCTGTTTCTTTTGTAAATCAAAATCACGATGCAAGTAGTAGAAAGAACTCATCCGAAATTAATGAAAGTGTGACCCAAGTGACTATGCAAGCTGCATATGCCCTCAGTTTCTTATCTTTGAAAATTGAAAAGTAACTAATAATGGTTTTATACTGATGTTCTTGTCACGTATAAATTTCCTAATTAATTAAACTTGAGACCTAGTTTACGAATAAGTTCATTGAAAAAGTGTACCAGAACGTTTAGCAAGTTCAAACTGTTCCTTAGCAATGCGGTTCAACTCATCATCTGTTGTTTCCAGCAAGATTTCAGTCATGAAGCGTCGTAAGAGCATGAGCTGAAACTAAGTTAGCTTCAATTTCTACAGAGGCAAAAATTATAATCATGATTCCTATTTAGATATTCAACATTTAAAGATTTTCAATCCTCATTATTTTAGTGAATTTCTCATTTTACGTTTTATTACAAAAGCTGAACAACCATTACAATACAAAATTAACAGTTTATTAAAATAATAAATTTGAGTTCCGAGGAACAAGACTATTTTGTGTAATAAAATGAAAAAATACTATTCGAAAACAACAAATAAAATCAAAAATAAAACAAAAAAGTTCAATTTCGTTTTTCGATTCTTGCCATCAAGCAATGCTTTAAAACCAATTTTCCACGAATAAGAAGGGAAATAATATTAATATAAGATACAAAACATGCTCACTGCATCTTCCCGCCTTTCTTCTTCTGAACGATAATCGATTCCTGATTCATCGTCAGTCGACTGCTCTTGCTGTTGCTTTATTTTCTGCAAAAATACTGGTTCTCCATCCAAATTTTCCGTTGCTCCTCTTGTGGTTTCATTTTCATTACCTTCTTCGCTGCTATCAGAGTCCTAAAACTTAACATTATAAGCAGACAATTAAATTGAATTATGTGTGATAACATAGATAAGAGAGTACAACAGATAAATAGATGTAACAAAGTATAGACTTACGAATTTTCCCAATCCTTTGGCAGCCCGACGTGCTCTGGCCGCCTCCTCAGCGGCTTGCAGTTTCGCTTCCTTGATATACTTCTTCTGTCTTTCTAATTCAGCCTTTTCTAAACCTTCCAGAATCCAAGCTGGCAAAGCTTTGCGAGTCTGCTGATCTTAAAAATCACCACTGCTAAGAAAGTTTCCAAAAAATTCAACATATAATTATAAAAGACTATCGAAGTAATCTCAAACCAACCAATAAAAGGCATGTTGTGAGAGTTAGACGGAGATTCACGACGTGACGGATGGTACCAGTTTTGTGGGATCCAGCCAGGACCTGGTTTGAGCCAATGAGCCATAGCACCTTCGGGAACTGTTTCCGCATCCTCCGAATCATCGCGTCGAGTAACTTTTTGTTTCTCATCCCATTCGTTAAAGTAGTGCGAGTACTGTAACTGAATAATGTAAATTAAGGTTAAGTGTTGAATGAAGAAAAAGAAATAATCTTACGTAAATACGAAAAATGCGAATAAAAAGAATCAAGAAACTTGCCTCATCTCCTTCTTCATCATCAATTCTATGTTTTGCATGACCGTATGGAACTGGTGGAGGAAATGAACCGGGCGGTATAGGAGCGACACCCATCCATGGTGGAACTGGCGGCATGAAAGGTGGAAAAGCGGCACCAGGTGGAGGTGGAGGCGGAGGTGGTGGAGGTCCGAAATTATTTGGTGGAATTGGTGGTATCCAACACGGGGATGGGCCATTAACGAAATTCGGTTCTAAAAATTGAAAAAAAAAAGCTCGCACAGCTAACAACTTCAGAGTAAACAACAAGAGATTAAGCTTACGTGGAAAAGCGAACAATGTAATTTGAAAACGTACCAACAGGCAGAGTAGGCAAATACCCACCAGGTGGCAAAAAAGATCCATTTACCGATAATCCATCAGGTGCCTGTGGCACATGTGGTAGTGGTGGCGGGTCCTCAGCTGGTGGTGGTGGAATAGAATCGCCAGAAGTTGTTGATGGTAATTCACCGGCATCACGCATTTGAATCCATTTTTGGGCTAGTTGTGCCCAGTTCACTAAAATCAACTATCTCAGTCAATTAAAGCTATTACAAAAGACTATAATTTTTTAGTCTTTAGAAACTATAGAAATCACATCTACGAGACAGTAGTGATTAGAGCAATAATTTACTACTGGAATATGATTAAAAAACTGAATATTTTGAACCTGCTCCATATATTTTAATATATTAAGTTTCTAAATTACTCAAACAAATGATCTAAACTATGTAAAAAAAAATTAAATAGCCAATGTGTATCGCAATTATTTGAAAATTCAAGCTATAGTTAAGCTATTTTGATTTCAGACAACGTAAATTAAAAATATACCTTCTGAATTCGGAATATTCTGATAATACGATGCATCCAACCATTTCGCATTTTCAGCCATTCCAATCATAAATCAAAATAATGTATTGTAGTGTTTCACAAATTATCCAAAAATACTTTTGAATCTGGCAAAACAATCGCTAATTAAAGAATTAAAACACATTATTAAAGCAGGAACAGAAAGTAATCCCGATTCAAGTCATTATATATGATTAATGGTTAATATCATTACCACATATTAATTTCAAGCGAAATTCTTCTAAAAAATGTTTACTCACCAATTTTAAATTACAAATGTAAAGAATAGAAAAACTATACTCGAACAACAAAATTAAATGATTCGTGAAGAGCAGATTAGTAAATGATGCAATAAATTAGCTGGGAGGTTGTCACTTAACAACAAGCTGTCTACAAACTAATCGGAAATCTCTAACTAACCCAAAAATAATTCATAATAAGGTAGTGGACAAAGATAACCGGCCGTAATTGTTAAAAAGCTGGAAAAATGACTAAATCGTTATATAAGATCTAATATTCTGTACAAAAATTAATGATACTAAAACGTAAATAGCGGAAACTGTTGTACGAACTAAGCATACACGAAATTAAGGGACCTAGTGTCGGGAAGGAAGACATACACTCGATTACAGTTCTTGAATGCTGATAATAATTTAATATTGAGTAGGACGTAACTATAACAAAGAATAACTGATTAAGGGGATTACAGTGAAAATACTATTAGAAATTATGACCATGTCATTTAGAGCCAAATACTTAAGCAAATTGCGGATTTATATGGACTAGCCCTAGCCCTGATCTGACAACTCATAAAGACTTCGGTGCTTATATAATATCAAACAGATACTAGCTAAAATAGTCTCAAATACATAACAGTACGACAGAACGTAACGTGAAAAGTCAACTATGCTGCAATAGACGCACGCAGCTGCTCTCTACATGGCTCTCTTCGCAACAAACCAACTCATCATTAGTTCATTCAGTATGCAGTTGTCATTGATGTACGCACTAGGTTTTTTCTCAAACATTGACAGGAGGCAGTACTTCGTTCACTGTTCATGGATATATCATCTGCAAATGTATTTTGCTTTTAAAAAGTTCAAGAGCACGTTTCTCCCGGAAAACGGTAATGGTGCGTAGAAATTTTGCCTCACGACCCACCTAGATACACCTTGGGCGCATTTACAGCACCTAATTCCTCTATATCATAAAGCTCGAAATCAATCACCAACGAAGTGCGTAGAAACAATATTATGAAGATTACTGAACTAAGTCATTCACGTGAGAGCTGGAGACATATGGAGCCTTTTATTGATAATATTATTTGACTCAAATACCATATACAAAAAGATTGCGGAGAAAAGCACTATTCACTACTTTTCTTGATTTTAGAAGAAGCATAAATCACTAACTCAGGCCAACTGTCTGCGTTATTTCCAGCAACCAGTACACTGCTTAACTAATCTTCCAATTTATTTGCTCGCAGTTCATCTCCAAGGACAAATACATTAATGACTTCACACCAAAATGCATGATTTCGCACCTACAGCATGTCTCAGAATTCTTATGCATATAACAGTAACCAAAGAGAACTAAATTTTTGAATTCTCTACAAACACATATTAAAGTATTAGATGAGGATATAGTCAGAATACAAGCACAATGAATTTGCAAATTCCTAAAATATGATACATCAGTGTGACGAATTTAATAATATAATAATGTGCAATAAGAATGTTATGAAATAAAGATCCACATTGTTCACATCAAAAGGATCATTCAATCACATAAAAACCACAAAGCTCTTATCAATTCATTGCAAGTAGATGCTCTCTAACAATGAAAAACGCATTTACATTACATCGGCTAATAAACGAAATTACGAAGTCAGCGTTTCTAACTTTCGTGTTCATTAGCTAGGAAATCTTGTGAAATTACGGTGAAAATAAATGATTGCAAGCCTAATTATTATCACACCTAACTTCATTGCTGGAATGGTCCAGTAATTGGTATATGCCATTTATAATCCATTCATATGGCATGATTTCTATATGCATTAGGAACGCAAGGAACCCTTTAGGACGTTGTATACTTTCTGATCAAAATAAACTGAGCAGAAAATTATACCCACAACTGGTACCAATTGACACTGCTAAAGCCACAATATCAATTTCCATAAAATAAGATAAGTAGTAGAATAAGTGCAATTACGTTGATTACACTCATCAATTGTAAGGAGAAAAATTTTTTACTTTATAATATGTACGAAAAACTACATGGTGAGGAAATTTCATCAAAATTCAATTTCGCTATGTCCACTAACAATCTGGGACCGTCTATAGTTTTTTGTTCCACTGAATACCGTCTAAACTACTGCGCCGGACAAAAATGACGATCTTAGCTATTGATACGTCCGTCTGGGCAACTTAACACAAGAATTTCCAGCTAAATTTTGTTCGCGAAAAGTAAACTTCCTATAAATCTAAATTCTTCCACAGCCACATTTCTTCCTTTTATAACAAGATAATTGTGCACCTTGAAAATAATCGTAACTACCTATAAAAACACTACAAAAAACTGAGGACTGCCGTAGTGAGCTAAACTCAGGTGGAAATAAACCATAAAACATCTTATGACATAATAACTGATTTACAGTCAATTAATTTTAAAAGCCGTACACCAGATAAGTGTATTTATAAATGAGATAAATATGAAAACCTAAATGTGAAATTTTCACTTTTCAACTCATAACTTCAGAACCATATATTCCAGGACTATTTACAGCCCTCACTTTTCGTTTCCTCAATGTCATCCCAATTCTTCGTTCTGGAATAACATAAGGTTGTTTTGTGACTGGTGATATGTTAGACAGTCGATTTCTACGACTTTTTTGCTTTGATTCATAATTTACATCACTGCATTTTCTCTTTCGAGTTTCTTCTATATCCTTAAAGTAAAATTATTGGCTAAAAACTTGTAAGAAAGATAAATCTGCAATACTATCATCATAATTTTCAGTGCAAAATATTTAGCATTGAAAAAATGGAAAAACTGTTTTGATCTGAATAACCAAACTAGAGAAGCTTCGTTGAGAAATTAATTTAAGAAACTAATGAAATACATCATAAAATTATTAAAAAGAAATGATATTTGCCTACTTTACAATTAGAAATATTAACATACTGTTGCCGTATTTTGAAGCAGTGCAAGATCCCTTTCATCGTTAAATAAATTTTGTTCACATTCTTTCACTGATAATGTTTGCAAAGGGCATTTTTCATTGTGTAAAGGATGTATTTCACCACCTGGCATACCATCAATTATTTCAACTGTCGCTACCTTAAGTAGGAGCTTTGCAATTATTTTTTAATTACCGTTTCGCTTTACATTTATTTCTTTAGTAAAGCACAAAGTAAACACTTCCTAACAAGTTTTTCCCGTAACAAGATACATACTGCATCATCCTTTGTCTTCCTCAGCATTTCACAATCAAGACATCTGAATGTTTCTAGATTATTGCTTGCTTTAATTAGTCTATACACACGATAACCATCCCCTTCTGCAATCGCAATATTCATATTTCCATGTTCGTCAACAAGTCTTGTATATAGTTCGTCCACATTTTCCCCACCACATTCTTCTTGCGATGATGGTTTATAGTCAACACTGTAACTTAATAAAACTATGGACTTTTGTTATTTCAGATTTATTCAAATCTTTAACATGGTGATTGTTCAGGTTAATGCAGAAAAAATAGCTTTAAGTTGTCAAAGAAGAAGAACAAACCTATTATTTGTGTCCTGTCTATTTTCATCAACCTCATTTATCTGCTGAAAACAAAAAAATATCAAAAAATTACAGTTTTTCTAGAGTCAAAACTTTTCTACAACAAATTATATTATTCACGCAAGCAATTTCAGATTTAATTCTTTGAGAAATTAATCCACATTGCACACGATTATTCCTCAATAGACTACAAATATCCCAGATTAAGCAATATCAAGAAATAACAGTAATGAACAGTAACATCAAGCTCTCGAATCAGAGCAATGAAGTTCTTCACAAAAAACTGATAGGAAAAAACCTCTACATAATATGAACATATGACTTGAAGATTCAAAGTACAGTTATCACTATCAATACACAAGGAACTTAGTCTGATTTATATAATTCTCAAGCATATATTTTATTATAACCCTATTGAAATTCTGATAAAAATTTCCCGAGTTCAAATATGCAAGTTTATTTCGTTATTGCATATATTGTATTGTATTGAAAAAGTACTTTTTCAAAAAGCAAAGTGTTGTTTGCTACGTTCGGAAGAGCATAATCCAAAAGCTGCTTCAAAGCTTCTTGGCAAGTAATGTGCTGAGACTTTACACAACGAATCAGTCCCTTGACTTCATTTTTTATTTCATTCCGCGTTCTGAAATACTTAAGACCAGCAACAACCATGAACCAATTTAACTAATATACATACAATTTCTAAGGAGTCTTCAACGTCTATCATTTCAAAAAATTTAGGTTTTTAAAAAACTTAATATTTCTAGGGATAAAAAATAACTTTATGTTTAATACAAGATGTAGAAGGCTCCTAGAAAAAATGTGTATATGCATATACATATATATTTTATATGCATATACGATTTTTTAGGAGCCTTCTACATCTTGTAATCACCTATATATATATATATATATATAGAAAAAATGAGCATTAATTACTCGAGCTCGACATACACTTTGTCTAGAAGTTATACATTATTTATCCGCTATTTATAGCTTCTATTTTCATATTTTCATATTGTCCCACTTTATTTGTTACGAAGACATTATAATAGTACTAGGGGAGTGAATGGCGAGAATACCAGTGTAATCTGTTACAACAACAAAAGCAGTGCTATCGGCAGTCAAAAAACGCCAGAAGAGGAAAAATGACAGAAATAGTCGATACTTTTCCAACAAACAATCAAATCAGTTGTCTTATGGCTGGTATTTCTAAAAGACTTTACACTTTAAAGGCGATATCCAAGAAACGAAAAGAAGTATTGAGCCTGAATTCTCATGGAGCCTCTTGTTGCAGTATTTCTGAAGCAACGGAAACGAAACAAGCGAAAAAAAAAGGAGAGAGATATGCATGGAATGAGTAGAGAATAAAGACCGTTGCAAAAAGAGTTCGAAACACAAACGAAGAATGCTGCGTTGTCATACTGTCAGGATATAAAAAGTCTGAGAAAAAAATGAAGAACCATTATTACACGAACACAGTACCCTCACCTTACAGAAGAGAAATGTGTTTGGAGTTGAGGAAAATACGTGCCTATATTGTAAAGAACGGGTGGAGGCGATGGACCATCTGATAACTTAGTGTGAGAAAGCGCTCTCATGACTATATTGGCAAATACAATGAGATATCACGATGTATTCATTTAGAACTTTGCAAAAAGTATGATCTGAAAGCATTTCCACGCATGCAAAGCCACTCCTTCAGTTCAGACAACAGTCAAGATCGAGAAAAATCGAAAATATGATTTCCTGGCTAATAAACTTGGGGCAGAGGTCAAATGCAAGCCGAAAATAACTCTGCATTGATGACGTAAGATGGGATAGTAATGAAATTTCATAGACGTTACGCGGAGGATATCAATATATCTGATCACGTCGAGGCATATATCCAATTGATGCTCAAGAAGATGCTAGAAAGCATCGAATTACATCACTGCCGTGAATTTGACAAAGACAAAGCAACCGACACCAGCACTTGTAGAACTGAGAGCAGGGCGTGTATGGCAAAAGTTCTGAATACGATCCAGCGCCCGAATCAATAATGCAGAAATTAAAAATAACCTAGGTGATATATATATATATATAATATATAAACAAATCATAGAAACAATATCATTGAAAAGTCATAAGAAAATTATAAATCTTCTTGAACTTGCATAATTATCCCAAGCCGTGCGTGTGCTGATTCGGGTACTAGATCGTATTTTTTTCATATTTTCCTGATACATTTCCAGATACATTTTTTCATATTTTCCTGATACATCTTTGGACAAAATGAGCAAGAAAATATGAACAAATTTCTTCATAACTAGTTAAGAATTTACCGTATAATATCAGTATATGAAATCGCATCGTATGTTCCTACCTGAAATAAAATCCTATTTATACATTGACGTTAAGCACTTGCTTTTCTGTATAAGTTTTCTAATATGTTTCTATAAGTAGCACTCTCTGATTTCAAAGAATACGAAATGACTTGATTCCAACAAATTGAAAATTTTTGGATCTTGAATTACTACGAAATTTCAGATTATTCCAATAATGCGAAAACTTAAAACATAGAAAAGTACAACATACTGGTTCAGATGTTCCTGTATATAGACTACTTCCACCACATCGCTGCGAATTGACAAATTTCGGTATACCCACAAGCGCTCCTAAAGTTTGCTCAGCTGGAACACTTTCGATATAAAAATTAGCTCTGCAACTCGGTGCCAAGTTTTTTTCCGGGATTACTGTTCCGTGAAAATCAGATGGCAAAGAATCGTTTGTACAAACCTGACCGTCTGCTATAAAATTTAAATGCTCAGAAGGCAATTTAGACTTACAATGATGAGAAAACGAAAGATATATTTCGCACTAATCAAACATGATACTACAAAGTTTTGTTTATTATGGATAATATGATGTTTAATAGACAAAAATAGTTACTAACACGAGGAAAACTATAAGGATTAACTAATAGTAAACAAAATTGTAAATTAAAAAAATTACTGACCAAATTTATTTTAAAATTTTAGAAAGCATTCAGACAGGACGGTCATATCACAGAACTCAAGCAAATATTATTACTGCCTCAATCTAAATTCGATTGCGACGTTCTCATTGAACAAAAGACATTAAAAGCAGAGTTAAAAATATGAATATTGGATTTGTGCAACCAACGTAGCACTACAATTTTTATCAGTAAAAAAATTTTTAAATATATACCAGATATATTTTGGAACACATTTGTAATTTTTATGAAGACATACATGAAGATGATATATCGTGATTTAACATCTGCATTTGGTCGGTATTTGTGCTTGCTTCATTGACACGGTACAACTTATAACTACCATTTTCGGCAACTGCAATATGAGTTAATCTTCCTTCGTTATCCAGAAGTCGTATCACTGGAGGAGTTTTTTTAGGAGCCACTGTTATAGATGTTTGCTGTGCAACAGCAACTGGTGCACAGGGTTGACTTTCAGCTTCATTACTTTGTTTTATAGCGATAAGTGAACTATAAGAATTTTTCTTTCAGTCGTTTGTATTAATAACGACTGATACAAAGTGAACCTTATGTCACCAAAAAAATATTAGTAAACATTGCAAGAAGCGATGACCACGTGCTTTATTTCCGATAACATTGCTACTTTGAGTTTGCAATCCAGAAGCGGCTGACAATATAAATAGAGAAAATTTTCACCTTTTCATTTATGTCAAAATATACTTTTGAATCCGTACAGTTTTTAAGCTAATAAGTTGAATTTAATACTTCTAACAACTATTCCAACAAGAAAACTCATACGTATTTCCACGCTCATTTTTCATCATATATCTACCAGCCATTTCGTTATTATTTCCAAATGTGTCAAGTACTTCAGCGCCATTTCTTAACTTGCTATCTAGTAAGCTGATGTTTTGATCCATTTTTGTTTTACTTCTGGTTCGGTAGCATATGGGCGATTTATTCTCAAAACCAGTTGCTAGTATATCTGTCGATGAACCATAAGCTTTAGAAGAAAATGTGCCACTCCTTACTGTTTTCATGTTAACACTTTTTTGATCCTGTTTCTACAAACCACTCGTGATAACTGAAGAATTTCATGAAATTCCTTCCCATTGTGATTTTTCCCACGTAAAAAATTAAAAGATATTAATGCACTACCGTTTTTGAAACCGGATTGATTTCACAATAAACTTCACTTTTTTAAAATAAGATATTACTGCATTCAGTGTTTTATGATTCTTTATATATTGACTTTTCACAAATTTTTTTGATTTCCGCACTTAGTATTGATAAATTTGAAATAACTTTAGCACAAAAAGGACACCAATGCTAGCACACCATACTACCCACAGAAGACAAATAAATAAAAACTCTTCAGAGATTTTATGAATCACTTACTGCAAGAGCATCATCATTTGCCATTTTGATCACTTGCAAACGTACCCCAATAGATGTCACTTTTACATCCATTAACACAGAAAGCTGTTCAGCTGCTTTAGCATGGGATAATCGATGTTTTTTAACTCGTCGAACAATGTCTTTAACTATTGGTGCATCCCAATCATATTTACTCACTTTGCTTAAATGAAAACAGAGAAAAATTGAACTTGTCAATATTATTTACAACTTTTGTAAAAAAATTCATAAAAGGAAATAAATGCTGGATGTCGAGTAATATCACGATTCTCACAATTAAAATCTATTTACACTTCATTAACAAAAATTAAACGTGCATAATTGTAACCTACTTAATTACTTCTATGCCTCAACAACAAATTATTGCATCCCAAAATTACCAAAAAAATTTTAACTTTGAACTTTGGAATCTCAGTCCAGCTACTTTCTACCTTTAATATTAATATTAAACATACTTAGAACATGCGTTCACTAAATCTTCTCCTTCGACCGCTGCACTTTGCAAACTTGTCTGCAAATTATAGTAAGAACTATGAATCTTGAAAATATCCTTTTCATTTCGTAATTTGGTTCAAAATCTGATAACCACAAAACACAAAAATCAAGATATGGCGAGACTAAAACCATGTACCTGTGCAACTTCATTAATAGTTTTTTCAAGGGCATCTTCAACTTCATTGAAGTCACTTTTCTCGTTCTCATGCTCTCCACATGCATTATCCAGTCCACAGTACATGAAGCTCCCAGGAAAACTTTCACTTATTTCTGAATGCTCATCAACAAAAATTTCGGTATTTTCCTCACAATTTCGGGCAGCAGTCATTATTTCATTAGTATGCGATATTTAGTCAACATTTACTAAGTTGCACTACTCTCCACAAGAATCAGATTATTACTGCCAAATCACCAATGAATCAACAGATAATACTCCACTTCCCTTTAAAAAGTTTCGTGTTACCTGTGCCTATGCTGAATGACCCATAGTGTGATAAAACAAGACACTAGAAGTTTTGCCCGAGGGAAACCATTCATTTATTATAAAATCGTCAATACTAACTAAAATTAGCAACCTCATAAAAGTTGCAAATAATAAAACTGTATAAAGAATTTTTCTAGTATGAAAACAAAGACAGAAAAATATTGTTTTTATAAATGATAAAACCTATCGATTTCAGCACTCGAAACACAAGAAAAGTCGGAAAAATTCTTTATTAACAACTGAGTATCTACAATTTCACAAATCAATAAGTATATATATATACTCACAGTAACTGTTTATTCAAATATCAAGTCCCTGATGCATTAAATTTAGGAATCTTTTCTAGCAGCTTTTTTACCCTTGATAAAATGACAGGTTTATCACAGAAGCAATCCTCTGATGTAAAGGGTTCGACTATTCGTACCATATTAAACAAACTAATTGAACCATCACTATTGTTTGTCACCTGAACCTGATTCTGTTCTAACCATTCAATCAATTGCTGTCGCCTAAAAAATTATGAAAATAAAAAACAAAATTCAATCATTCAGGCCTCGAGTACAGGCTTTATGATCAAAATATCACGTTTTAACATTAAATGGATGAGAATATTTAATCACATCGCTTTAAAGTATAAATAAAATACTACTACTTCTGTTCATGCCAAAAAATGGATAACATTTTAAACAAGAACCGAATTAAGCACCTCTCCAACTGATGTTTTGTAGATTTCGGAGTTGTTTTAAATAGATTTCCCAGCCAGCCATCTAAGTCTGAAGTTCTTTTGATGCATCCATCTGGTAACTGATCTCCAGCATCAAACTTTCGTATCTGTTTTGCAGATTTTTCAAAGATAATCTTTAGCGCTATTGGTTCTGAAATATGCATATAATAAAATCAACTTCATACGCATAAAGAATTACAACCAGCTATGCGCATGATAATTCTGATTGACATTTGTTTAAAAGCTAAATAGCACAATTATTCTACAAATGATTTTAGGTTTTCAGTTGTCTCCATCTGATTCCTGAAAGCAGTGCTCGAGTGACAAACAGCGGCGAAACTGAACAATGAGGAAGAAGGAATGACATTTTTCTTCAAAAAATAATTAATGAAACTTAAAGACCTTTTTCCTTTGAAAAAACTATGACTGCTAACGAATAATTCACTGGATCAAATGTGAAAATATTGCCACAAATCGTTTTATCATTGATCAGATCCACAGCAACTGGTTCACCACACAAATCGTACATTGCTGGTATAGATAGATCAGTAAATGAAGATGCACAAATATGCTTCATTATATTACTTATTTTTCTTATTTCCCTAAAGATATATTTAAAAGATCTCACAATAGGATTTAACTGCTTCATAAAGATGAAAATGCAAGCGACAAGACATGAGGGAACATTTTAAATCATAGGATTTCGACAATGTCACAGAAGTCATGCAACTAATTTAAATCTCACAGATATTTCATTTTGGTGCAAAGAACGAACAAAGGGACTAAACTAGCAGACACAGAAATGTCACACTGATAGCCAATTCAAGAATAATCCAATTCAGAGATTATATTGTATAAACTAATCAATCTCCAAATCCGCCCCACAGATTTTATTTGCAGTCAGATGAAAAGCGAAAACACCACAATGTATCATCTTTCGAAAATATATCGCAAAAGTATTTCATTCTTTTGCATCTTGTATTTCATGTCTAAATTATAATATAAACGACAGGGCAAGATAACCAATCTCATTTACAAGTGTAACAAAGAATATATCAATACATAACAATTATTATCATTAAAAGTGACGAAAATCAAGCAATTCGTTGCGGCAAATTAGAATAACTGTAAACTTAAACTCCAGGGAACGCAAAATCAGAAATGAAGTAATGAAATACACGCATCTAACGCTCAAATCAATTGTGTCAACACATAAATAATGCACAAAGCAAACCAGAAATGCGGGGATCGGTATGAAACTTCCCATCCCTTAATTCAATTATCCAATCACAGATCAATGACGCTGATCAGTTTCCTGTGTAACATTGTTGTTTCAAAGATTCAGCAAGCATCACTGTTACTGTAACGTACCTAACGGCATTCTATCTGATCGCATTGTTATCTGATTTAATTGGATATTGTCAGTGATCAACTTAGTCGCTCATAATTGTGCACAAATTTTTTAAAAGATTATTGGACTCAATTTAAACTATTTTCTGATACTACTATATGTAAAAAAAACACTTATCGAGAATATTTAATGGTAATAAAATTCTTGTTATTCTGAAGAAACCTTTGATTCATTACGCACATTATAAATGCCTTTAATAATCACATATATACTGGTTGTTTTACTCTTAAAGCATATGGCCACTGAACTGGACTGAATACGTGGGCAATAAGTGCTTTATACGTTGAAGTGAAGAAATTTACACCAGAATCAGTAGCTTTATTAAGCAAACTTATTTTATATAGATAATGTAGATTGAAGTTTTGCAAACTCTCGTGTATTATAAATTATAATCTTAGACAGCCGGCATGTCATATCTTCAGTAATGTTTTTGGGCTTTAAGTATGAAATTGAGTGAGTTGAAAAGAAGAATTCATAAATTGTTAAGTATTCAAAATTTAATTGAGGGATATTTCAATACTATTCTTAAACCATTAATATGATTCTTGAATTGTTAATATGATTCTTGAATTGTTAATATGATTCTTGAACCGTTATTCTTGATGTTGCCTTAACCAGAATTTTTGGAACCGGAGCATATGATGCACTATTTAATGGTTTTGTCGACCATCTCCACACTTCAACGATTTTGTTATCAGAGGTCATAATGTTGAAATGAACTGAAGGATTTCCGAAATGACGCATATGCCAGTGAAGAGCCATTTAAAGGCATACTTACGGTCGCACAAAGCAGTTTGACTAAGTACATTGAGCACAATTTGGAAAAAGTTATTTGACTGATCACTGTACCACTCACATCTTAACTCATGCTTTGTCAATTTTGATATGCAGGTGTACTTTCGAAATTTGCATCAGTGGTGCTGTGAAATTCATTAAAATCCAATGCAGTATCCAAGGAGAAATGTTGCGCATGATTCTAACAACAATTGTGAATTGTAATGCGCAAATCTCGAACGAAATCAACTTTCAGAAAAGTGTCATGTCATATGAGAATCGCGTGCCACCACTTATCTTCCATTTCTTCCAGAAATCCTTTGCGATTCTCTTCTTCCGAGCAAATCCCAACTATATTACCAATGTTTTTTTTGCTCGGTCATGATTACACATTTATACTTGGTTTTTGTGGTTTGCTACCTTATAATGGGTTCCAGAATAAACTCATTTCTAACTTTGATGTTATCACAATGTGACTGTACTCCTAGTAAAGGAATAACTGCATTAATAATGATGCCTTTCACAGTATCATGAAACTTTCTGCTGCAAAGCAGTTGTAAACAAGTATCTGTTAATGAAAATTAAATGAAACTGCTCAAATAAATGTAAATTTATGTAGTTGCTCCTACTAAAACTCTGATTTCAGTGACAAATTCGCTGATTACAATTCAAAGAGCTTAACAAGTATTGAATCTTCTCTTGGATCAATTTAGATTGAGTAATAAGACATAAATTAGATTTCAATGTACGGTTGACATTGTTATTGAGGGATGCGTTTGTCTCATTTTCATTAAATACCGTTTTTTGTTTACAAAGATGAGTTTGTAGACTATTGAATAAACTCGAATATATGAAAGGTATTAAATTCTTATCTTTTGCACCAAGGGGTAACTTGAATAGCTTGCTATTCCACACATATTTTGGTTCCGAACGATTCGCAGATAACCATCTTCTCCCCAGTTTTCACCCCAGCTGAAAGATGTGAGGTGCAGTTTAAAAATTTTTAAATTAAGATGAAATCGGTCTGTAAGTATAAAAGTATTTGTCAGCAGATTCGACCAAATATTTGTTATTAAAAAACTGGAATATCTAACTCTCAAGTTAGTTTAAAATAAAAACCTATTTTTAATGAGCCAATAATCAATAAATTTTGTGGTGCCATTTTTCAGTTTCACTGCTTCTGTACCGTATCCAATGGCAGTGACGCCATGATCAATGTCATCCGGACAATTTCCTTTCGAAAAAATACCTAACAAATTCACAATTTTCATTAAAGAAAAAAGACAATATTTCAAAACCAGTGCAAATGACAAATATTAATATCAGAAGAAATTTCAGTTCTGGAAGTAATGCATCAACAAAATAAATTTAGCATCCAAATTTGGAAGATCACCTCGTCTGTAACCGAAAATATAATCAGCATCAAGAGCAACTGATATTGGACCAACTACCGCTACGGCGAGTTTCATCATATTTTCATCACCATAAGGTAGCATTCTTCTTCCAAAAGCACTTGACCCACGGGTCAAATTTGAGTAACGGCACACTCCTTGATATCCGAGATATGGATATGATTTTTCTGTGTCAACACCATTATTGTCTATCACATATGCGAATGCCTGAAACATGAACCCATTACAAAAATTTTACTGCAAGAAAAACCCCTTGGTAGAAATAACTTGACTTACAATCCAGTTGAGACTTGAAACAACTAACTTCCATCATGAGGCCACCATCGCACCCATAATTACCGTCACTGCAGTCAAGGATATTTTGTTCAGATAATCTAGTTAAGGCACCAGTTCGAAGAAACTGTTGTCCCTCAAGTGCAGCAACTGTGCTGAAAGCCCAGCAACTTCCACAGTTACCCTGCAAGTACGAAATTTCAGGTGCCAAAACTGAAGCACAGATTTCAATAAGTTTACTTCATTTATAGACAACTAGAATGATATATTTTACCTTAATTATGTATGCTATTATCTTCTTTTTAAATTCTAAATAAATATCTGGCAAACCTGATCTTTGACTTCAGTCACAGCTCCCAACT